TTCTAGTTGGGAGGGAACAATGGTGGCAAAGAGGGAGGTCTCCATGTGCTGCTGGTCAGCTCCCCAGAGGCAACTGGTTGACCATTGGGAGAAACAAAATGCTGGGCTAGAATGGGTCTTGCCTGATCCAGCAGAGTTAATCTTGTGTTCTTATGTAATTAATCTCAACAGTTGGGAAGGAAAAGAAGACCTATTACGATACTAAAATTACAATTTCTGCATTCCTGAAATTACACCCCACCCCACTTGGAGACTTTTCTGCCAAGCTGCCAGTTTTCTATTCTTATATTTCTAACATAACTTGTGTTACAATTCTATTGGTTCTGAAGCAAGAGATCTATAATATTGAAAGGCCAGGCAGGAATGAAAAATAAAAGGCAAAGTCTCCTTAGACCTCATCTCATCTCCTTCCTTGACAAGCCCTTCCACCTGCAGGCCCCAAACAGGGGGCAGTGCCTGGTCAAGGTTGTTTGGATTTGGAAAGTATGCCAGTTTGGGCCTGAATACTGCTTGGATGGGAGACCACCAGGAAATTCCACAGCTACAGCTAGAGTGGGAAGTCAAAAAGTCATTCCTAAGGAAGGTGATGGCAAACCACTGCCATAAAATAGGGATCCAGTTGCCCTGAGTGTGGCTTCATTTGCGTTATATTTGCTCTCCAAATCCTCGATTTCTTCTTCCATTTTAGAAGCACTACAGAATTACACGGGAGGAAACCTGACTGTGACTGGGCCCACAGCCACTGCAGGGATATTTGCCACCTACCCTGCCCCTTACATGTCTCTGTGGAGTGGATTTCTACAGGAGGTTAGTGCCCTTGGACTGACTACTAGAACCTGGTTCACCAAAGCACGGGTCTAGCATGGTGAAGGGACAGGAGGGTGAATTCTTGCTATTCTGGCATCTTCTGCAGGCCAGCCTGCTCAGTCCTTCAGTGAACTTGTCACTGTGGTTAGAAATGTTGAGTCGGGGCCCATGATCAGAAGGGAGAGCTGCAAGGAGCTGGAGTGTCCATGGAGGACTGAGATGCTCTGGTGATGGGTTGCTTCACTGAAGGAAAAACTTTATAAGGCATTGATTGATGCAGCATTTTGGGCAGGGGGATGAGCCATTGGGGACCTCTGTCCCACAGTTGGCTTTTGTCCCTCGTGCTAATCCCAGAAAAAGGAGCAGATTTTGTTTCTTGATAGTTCAGGAACAATAACTGGCTGCTGCTTTGAGACCATCAGAAAACCTAGGCTTGGAGGGAGCTTGGAGGCCCTTG